GCTGCTCGCTGTCGTCTAGACTACGCTGCTAGTCTTGTTGCTGAGTCTGCGTCTGTCTGTCCTCCGTCCGTCGGGGGTGAGTGTGCTCTTGGCACGGACGTCCTTGAGGACAGGCAGGAGGAGTTCCAGTGTCTGGCTGCTGCTTCACCTCATCTCGCGTCCGTACTGCTTACCCCTGAGGGAGACCCGGATGCACCAGACATCCCGACTCCGCGCTCTTACGCGGAGGCGATAGAGGGTCCCTACTCCTCTCAGTGGCAGGCAGCTATGGATGCAGAGATGGCTTCCTGGAAGTCCACAGGCACCTACGTTGACGCGGTTCCTCCTCGTGGGGCCAACATCGTCAGTGGCATGTGGATCTTCAGGGTGAAGCGGCCGCCGGGCTCTCCACCTGTCTTCAAGGCACGGTACGTGGCTCGTGGCTTCTGTCAGCGGCAGCGAGTTGACTACTTTCAGACCTTCTCTCCCACCCCGAAGATGACCACTCTTCGGGTGCTGCTACACATAGCCGCTCAGCGTGACTACGAGCTTCACTCCCTTGACTTCAGCACTGCTTTCCTTCAGGGTAGCCTGCACGAGGAGATCTGGCTGCGCCGTCCACCTGGCTTCACTGGGACTTTCCCTCCTGGCACCCAGTGGAGCCTCCGACGGCCAGTCTACGGTCTCCGCCAGGCACCGCGTGAGTGGCACGACACACTGAGGACTACACTTGCGGCTCTTGGGTTTGCTCCCTCTACTGCTGACCCGGCGTTGTTTCTGCGCACCAACACTTCTCTGCCGCCGTTCTACATCCTCGTGTACGTCAACGACTTGGTCTTTGCCACAGCGGACACTGCTGGACTCGCCTACGTGAAGTCCGAGCTGCTGAAGACACACACGTGCACAGACCTGGGTGAACTGCGCAGCTACCTTGGCTTGCAGATCACTCGGGACAGAGCACGCCGCACCATTACCTTGACTCAGTCACACATGGTGCAGCAGGTCCTTCAGCGCTTCAGCTTCACGTACTCCTCGCCTCAGGCCACTCCTCTGTCTACTCGCCACTCGCTCTAAGCTCTGCCTTCGGATGAGTCCGTAGAGTCGAGTGGCCCGTACCCTGAGCTTGTTGGCTGCCTCATGTACCTGATGACCTGCACACGACCTCACCTTGCATACCCTCTTAGCATTCTTGCACGCTATGTTGCTCCTGGGAGACACAGACCAGAGCACATGGCTGCAGCGAAGAGGGTGTTGCGCTACTTGTGCAGTACGTCGGGCATGGGGCTAGTGCTTGGAGGGCGGAGTCCTGTGGCCCTCACTGGGCACGCGGATGCTTCTTGGGCTGACGACCAGGCTACGCAGCGGTCGTCACAGGGTTACACCTTCAGTCTTGGTTCTGACTCTGTTTCGTGGCGGGCTACTTGCTCGTCTTCTGTTCTCGGCTCCAGTTGTGAGGCTGAGATCTACGCCGGGGCCATGGCTGCACAGGAGCTTCGCTGGCTCACCTACCTGCTGACTGACCTAGGAGAGCCGCCTCGTTCTCCTCCGGTGCTGTACGTAGACAACAAGGCCATGCTGGCCTTGTGTCGGGAGCAGCGCCTAGAGCACAGAACGAAGCACATTGCTCTTCGCTACTTTCTTGCTCGTGAGTTGCAGCAGCGTGGTCAGTTGCGACTTGCGTATGTGGCCTCTGAGGCCAACAGTGCTGATGTTTTCACCAAGGCACTTCCGCCTTGTGATCATTAGCGTTGCTGCACTCAGCTGAGTCTTGTGCCTGTCTTGCCTCACTTGCTCACCACTTGACCTTGCTTGTACCCTTCCATATATATTTATACCTGCTCTTGCTTGTTTAGCCTTATATATGTGTGTGTATTCTTGCATGTGAACTGGCCTTGTGGCCTTGTCCTTGTGCTCGGACTGTGTGGTGACGTTGTGATCCACCCTGAGCTTTGTCTGCTTTGCTTGACTGGTCTTGTGACCCCTTGTTCTCCCCCACTTTGCCTATGGGGGTGTGTCAAATTATAATATTGTGTAGGCTATAGTGGGGTAGTCTATATGGGGTACACATTTCTAGGGTTGCATATTTGTATCACTTCCATTCCTTAGTCAATTCATTCTCGTTCTCCTTTTCTCAGATCCTTCCTAAAATACTCATTCTAACATTTAAAAATTCCACTCTCCTACACATCCTAGGCATCGCCCTCAACAGTGGCGGTGTCATCCTGGGCGGTCTCACCGTCAGACTCTGGCTCGTCTACGTTGTTGCAGCAGAATCGATCTGCTGCAATCTCGTCAAGTTCCACTTCACCCTTGACGGCGTCCCGGCGGTGCTGCAGGCAGAGGTTGTCCTGGGACCCGTCCAAGGCGTTGCTGATGCCACATGTGAGAAAGGCACGCTCAATCAACTCTTTCGGCACCGCCTTCCAAGCCTTGGAGATCCACTTGAGCGTTAGCTCCTGTGGTGGCTTGCGGATGTTGCCTGCCACACATGGAAAAATTACAGCAGTCAGAACAGGGTCGGAACAAGTAGAACCATCCCAACACGGGAATGAATGCTCACCTCTTTCCGTCAGGCAGTCAACGCCCGTGCTCTCGAACCACTCCTGGTACAGTTGTCGCACAGCTGCTTTGAAGGAGCGGTTCACCGCGACGTCCAAAGGCTGGATCTCCGGCGTGCAGCCTGCTGGAATGATGGCGGGGACGATGTTCAGCTCCCTGAATTTCTCCTTCACATGGTCAGTCAGGTGCCCGCGGTAGGAGTCCACGACCAGCATCGACTTCCTGCTGCGCACTCCAAACCGTGGGTTGACGTACGGGCGCACCGCTCCGTCGAGCCAAGCGAGGTATGGGCGCTGGGCGACTCTGCCACTGAGAGTAATCGGGAGTTTTGGCAGCAGCACCTCGCCGGTTAAAGAGAAAATGGGTGCCTGGAAGGCCCGCCATGGCAGAGGCAGGCCGAGGGAAAACAAGAAAACTGAGAAGAACGATGAGAATGAGGCCTATTTGAAACCCTCGCTCGAGACCCCTCCAACTTCGCGACCCGAGTTCCTCTGCAGGGAAATGGGGGTAACTGTCAAGATCACCCCGCAGAGGAGCTGATGTGGTGAGGACCATGCCTTGGTGGCAAGGAATCTTGCCGCATTATACCCATTTCGTGGTCTACTGCGTCGTGCCTGGCACGGCAGGCGACCCTGATTGGGCAGTCGCACACATTACAGCGTGTGCGCTGGCATGGGCCGGATTCATGTACGATGAATTTGGCCAGGCCAGCAAGGCGTGGCGGGCGTGATTCCACGCCTTGTTGGCCCTTTGACGCGCAATTCATGCACGCGTTCGAACGTTCCAGATGTGGATTGAATCCCCTTATGAAAAGGCTTCAATTACATGTTTTAAAAAAAAAAAGTACATTTCATTTTTGCCATTTTATAGACGCCGGCGCTTATAAATTTCCTCAATTATAAGCGCAACCCCTAAAAATCAGTGTTTTATTACAACCCCAGGGGCGCTTCTATTCGGGGTATAACGGTAGATTGATTTAAACAAGGAAATACAAGGTTTTATAAGAGTACAAGGAATACTAAGAGATACAGCTAATAACTGTTTTACTGTTGCTGTTGCAGTTCGATACAGTGCCGACTCGGTGTCAGAATGTGATGTTTGTGTAGCCTGCAGTGGGGTACTCTATAGCGAGTACAGATCCAAATTTGGGTTTCCTATATGTACTCAACTGCATGCTAGTGAAAACCTCTTTCCTGTTTCTGATTCTTGCCTAGCCTTTCGACACTTGGGCAACTGCTCAGTAACGAGTCAGTTGTTTGTCCTTGATGTCGCGCTATATTTGTCAGGTCAAAGGTCGCTGACCTTTGACTTTCGCGTAACCTCCAGCGGTTGATTTTCTTCTCAACCTCCAAGTGTTAGACTCGCTGATGCTTCGTTGTGATTCACCTCGTTTACTACTCAGTGTTTCGACACACAACAGAAGCGCTTAAATTACTTGTTTCCAACAACTTTCTCGCAAAGACGGATAAAAAAGTCTGATATGGTCGCCTCGGCCTTACAGAAAGACCAACTTCCGCGAACTTGCCGCCCCCAATCCTATCCAGAGGCCTGCCGAGTTACCGTGTTGCGTTGTCAGCGATGTTGCCAAATCCACCAGTGTGGTTACGGTAAGTGGCACGTCGTGGGTTTTCATGGTTTTGCACCTGTGTTTGCTGACGTGTTGTGTATGTATAGGATGTCATGTTTGTTTCGCTACCTTTTCGATTTCGGAAATCCTCGTTCCCAAGAGTTTGGTTTCAGTGTAACTGAAACCGTACCCTACACAGTCAGGGAAAAAAAATCATACCCCTGTTTTACTAAGGGTAAAAAAATCACTTCACTATTTGGCCTATGGTATACCGGTAAATCCTGTTGGGCTGAAGTGCCCTAGGATCTTTGTAGAGTTTTAAGTCTGAGTAGAATTGTAGTAGCGGAAGCGTTTGAATGAAAGTACTTGAACCACCTTGCGCTAGTATGTGAGGGCAAAGTAAGTTGATTAAACAAGCAAATACAGAGGTTTATATAAGAGTACAAGGAATACGAATAGATAAGTTAAAACCGTTTTACTGTTGCGATTCGATACAGTGCGACTCGAGCAACTGCTCAATGTCGAGTCAGTTGTGTGTCCTTGCTGTCGCGCTGTATTTGTCAAGTCAAAGGTAGCTGACCTTTGACCTTCTCGTAACCTCCAGGCGGTTACCCTAACCTCCGAGGGTTGACTCGCGATGCTTAGATTCGGACTGCTTCGCTAGTCACCTGAGTTTCGACACGACAGAGGCGCTTAAGACTTATTATTCCCAACAAATCCCACTACCCTTCCTGGGAAAGGGTGACTGAAAAAAAGGGCAAGAAGGGCATTTACCCTGATATTTTTAGCCCTTTATGAGGGATCACCCTGAAAGGCAAACATCAACCAAAAAGCACCCAACTGGTACCAACGGCCGAGTGACTCAGTGCACCGCTGATGCTTCTAAAAGGCTTAGATGCTGACACTGTTTGCCCCTGCTGCCTCTCACTCCCCACCCCACTCCGTCAAGATCTCCACCACCCGTTCCCACCATAAAACCCTGCTGGACTCTCCACTGGCGTTGATCTCTTTGGCGGAATATCTTCATGGTCTCCTGCAGGCCAAAAAGACAAACAAAACTACTGGTAGAGCAGGGGCAGAGGGAAAATACGGGCGTTAGAAGGGGGTGTGTAGTGAAGAGGGTGGTGAATTGAAGGTGTGTTGTTTGAATGGAGATATGTGCAGGGGGAAGGAAGAAACGGGGCGCATCGTCTGTACAGAGGTGTATGCACGGGTAGGGAGAAACGGGCTGTGTGTGAGGGAGGTGTATGCAGGTGGGATGGGATGGGCGTACCTAGTGTGCAGCATGGTACCTGCATGGCGGAGTGGCTCACAGAGTGACTTTTAAGAAGTCTCAAAGTGGCTCAGGGAGTGTATGGTGGGGAGGGAGGGGTGGGGAGGGAGGGGTACGTAGGGGTGGAATGTGCTGACTTGACCGTCAACTGTTTTCACTGACTTGACCGTTCCTTAGATTTCCCTCCTGTCCATACCCTATCCTCCCTTCCCATCGCTCCTCATGCTTTCCACTCCCTACCACCCCCTTCCATTCTCCTTCCATCCCTTACCACTCACCTCCTCCGTTCCAGTTTCTTCTCAAGACCTCCTTATATTCAATTAAACTTGCAGTACTACTCTTTAATTACCTTTACCCTGGCCTGGGCCATGATCCTAGGTACCGTATTCCGCTCATGTCCTCTCCCTTCCCACCGGCCATTCATCTCGCAATCCCCATGCCGCCCATCCCTCAGTCTCCCAGTGTTCACAACTCACCTCCCCTGCCCTTGGCCGCATTCCCCCTCAGCTCTCCCCTCATTGCACCAGCCATTCCCCCTCCACTCATCCCTCATTCCCTTTGCGTTTATCCCTCTTGCCCTCTGCGCTCATCCCTCTTCCCTCTTTCCCCCTGTTCTCCCCTCTTTCCCCCTGTGCTCCCCTCTTTCCCCCTGTGCTCCCCTCTTTCCCCCTGCGCTCCCTTCTTTCCCCCTGCGCTCCCCTCTTTCCCCCTGCACTCCCCTCTTTCCCCCTGCGCTCCCCTCTTTCCCCCTGCGCTCCCCTCTTTCCCCCTGCGCTCCCCTCTTTCCCCCTGCGTTCCCCTCTTTCCCCCTGCGCTCTCCTCTTTCCCCCTGCGCTCTCCTCTTTCCCCCTGCGCTCTCCTCTTTCCCCCTGCGCTCTCCTCTTTCCCCCTGCGCTCTCCTCTTTCCCCCTGCGCTCCCCTCTTTCCCCCTGCGCTCCCCTCTTTCCCCCTGCGCTCCCCTCTTTCCCCCTGCGCTCCCCTCTTTCCCCCTGCGCTCCCCTCTTTCCCCCTGCGCTCCCCTCTTTCCCCCTGTGCTCCCCTCTTTCCCCCTGCGCTCTCAAATTTCCCCTGCGCTCTCCTCTTTCCCCCCGCGCTCCCCTCTACGCTCCCCTCTTTCCCCCTGCGCTCCCCTCTTTCCCCTACGCTCCCCTCTTTCCCCTACGCGCCCCTCTTTCCCCCTACACTCCCCTCATTCCCCTACGCTCCCCACTTTCCCCCTACGCTCCCCACTTTCCCCCTACGCTCCCCTCTTTCCCCCTACGCTCCCCTCTTTCCCCCTACGCTCCCCTCTTTCCCCCTACGCTCCCCTCTTTCCCCCTACGCTCCCCTCTTTCCCCCGCTCCCCTCTTTCCCCCTGCGCTCCCCTCTTTCCCCCTGCGCTCCCCTCTTTCCCCCTGCGCTCCCCTCTTTCCCCCTGCGCTCCCCTCTTTCCCCCTACGCTCCCCTCTTACCCCCCACGCTCCCCTCTTTCCCCCTACGCTCCCCTCTTTCCCCCTACGCTCCCCTCTTTCCCCCTACGCGCCCCTCTTTCCCCCTACACTCCCCTCATTCCCCTACGCTCCCCACTTTCCCCCTACGCTCCCCACTTTCCCCCTACGCTCCCCTCTTTCCCCCTACGCTCCCCTCTTTCCCCCTACGCTCCCCTCTTTCCCCCTACGCTCCCCTCTTTCCCCCTGCGCTCCCCTCTTTCCCCCTGCGCTCCCCTCTTTCCCCCTACGCTCCCCTCTTACCCCCCACGCTCCCCTCTTTCCCCCTACGCTCCCCTCTTTCCCCCTACGCTCCCCTCTTTCCCCCTACGCGCCCCTCTTTCCCCCTACACTCCCCTCATTCCCCTACGCTCCCCACTTTCCCCCTACGCTCCCCACTTTCCCCCTACGCTCCCCTCTTTCCCCCTACGCTCCCCTCTTTCCCCCTACGCTCCCCTCTTTCCCCCTACGCTCCCCTCTTTCCCCCTACGCTCCCCTCTTTCCCCCGCTCCCCTCTTTCCCCCTGCGCTCCCCTCTTTCCCCCTGCGCTCCCCTCTTTCCCCCTGCGCTCCCCTCTTTCCCCCTGCGCTCCCCTCTTTCCCCCTACGCTCCCCTCTTACCCCCCACGCTCCCCTCTTTCCCCCTACGCTCCCCTCTTTCCCCCTACGCTCCCCTCTTTCTCCCTACGCGCCCCTCTTTCCCCCTACACTCCCCTCATTCCCCTACGCTCCCCACTTTCCCCCTACGCTCCCCACTTTCCCCCTACGCTCCCCTCTTTCCCCCTACGCTCCCCTCTTTCCCCCTACGCTCCCCTCTTTCCCCCTACGCTCCCCTCTTTCCCCCTGCGCTCCCCTCTTTCCCCCTGCGCTCCCCTCTTTCCCCCTACGCTCCCCTCTTACCCCCCACGCTCCCCTCTTTCCCCCTACGCTCCCCTCTTTCCCCCTACGCTCCCCTCTTTCCCCCTACGCGCCCCTCTTTCCCCCTACACTCCCCTCATTCCCCTACGCTCCCCACTTTCCCCCTACGCTCCCCACTTTCCCCCTACGCTCCCCTCTTTCCCCCTACGCTCCCCTCTTTCCCCCTACGCTCCCCTCTTTCCCCCTACGCTCCCCTCTTTCCCCCGCTCCCCTCTTTCCCCCTGCGCTCCCCTCTTTCCCCCTGCGCTCCCCTCTTTCCCCCTGCGCTCCCCTCTTTCCCCCTGCGCTCCCCTCTTTCCCCCTACGCTCCCCTCTTACCCCCCACGCTCCCCTCTTTCCCCCTACGCTCCCCTCTTTCCCCCTACGCTCCCCTCTTTCCCCCTACGCTCCCCTCTTTCCCCCTACGCTCCCCTCTTTCCCCCGCTCCCCTCTTTCCCCCTGCGCTCCCCTCTTTCCCCCTGCGCTCCCCTCTTTCCCCCTGCGCTCCCCTCTTTCCCCCTGCGCTCCCCTCTTTCCCCCTACGCTCCCCTCTTACCCCCCACGCTCCCCTCTTTCCCCCTACGCTCCCCTCTTTCCCCCTACGCTCCCCACTTTCCCCCTACGCTCCCCTCTTTCCCCCTACGCTCCCCTCTTTCCCCCTACGCTCCCCTCTTTCCCCCTACGCTCCCCTCTTTCCCCCTACGCTCCCCTCTTTCCCCCTGCGCTCCCCTCTTTCCCCCTGCGCTCCCCTCTTTCCCCCTGCGCTCCCCTCTTTCCCCCTGCGCTCCCCTCTTTCCCCCTGCGCTCCCCTCTTTCCCCCTACGCTCCCCTCTTACCCCCCACGCTCCCCTCTTTCCCCCTACGCTCCCCTCTTTCCCCCTACGCTCCCCTCTTTCCCCCTACGCGCCCCTCTTTCCCCCTACACTCCCCTCATTCCCCTACGCTCCCCACTTTCCCCCTACGCTCCCCACTTTCCCCCTACGCTCCCCTCTTTCCCCCTACGCTCCCCTCTTTCCCCCTACGCTCCCCTCTTTCCCCCTACGCTCCCCTCTTTCCCCCGCTCCCCTCTTTCCCCCTGCGCTCCCCTCTTTCCCCCTGCGCTCCCCTCTTTCCCCCTGCGCTCCCCTCTATCCCCCTGCGCTCCCCTCTTTCCCCCTACGCTCCCCTCTTACCCCCCACGCTCCCCTCTTTCCCCTACGCTCCCCTCTTTCCCCCTACGCTCCCCTCTTTCCCCCTACGCTCCCCTCTTTCCCCCTACGCTCCCCTCTTTCCCCCTGCGCTCCCCTCTTTCCCCGTGCACACAACCATTCTCCCTGCGTTTACCAATCATTCCCCAGGCTGATGCCTAATTCCCCGCCCGCTCATCCCTCATAAACACTGAGCTCGCGCGTTTTCCCCTCTGCTCTCAATCTGGTTAATATCCGCTCACCCGTCATTCCCCCCCCCACTCATCCCTCATGACCCCTGCTATCGCGCTTTCCCCACCCCCTTCACTGTGCAGCCCTCTGCGCTGACATATTTTCCCCCCTGAGCTCAAATATTTTCCCCCTGCGCTCACACATTTTTCCCCTGCGATCACACATTTTCCCCCCTGCGCTCAAACATACATTCTCCCCCTGCGCTCAAACATACATTCTCCCCGCTGCGCTCAAACATACATTCTCCCCGCTGCGCTCAAACATACATTCTCCCCGCTGCGCTCAAACATACATTCTCCCCGCTGCGCTCACACATACATTCTCCCCGCTGCGCTCACACATACATTCTCCCCGCTGCGCTCACACATACATTCTCCCCGCTGCGCTCACACATACATTCTCCCCGCTGCGCTCACACATACATTCTCCCCGCTGCGCTCACACATACATTCTCCCCGCTGCGCTCACACATACATTCTCCCCGCTGCGCTCACACATACATTCTCCCCGCTGCGCTCACACATACATTCTCCCCGCTGCGCTCACACATTCTCCCCGCTGCGCTCACACATTCTCCCCGCTGCGCTCACACATTCTCCCCGCTGCGCTCACACATTCTCCCCGCTGCGCTCACACATTCTCCCCGCTGCGCTCACACATTCTCCCCGCTGCGCTCACACATTCTCCCCGCTGCGCTCACACATTCTCCCCGCTGCGCTCACACATTCTCCCCGCTGCGCTCACACATTCTCCCCGCTGCGCTCACACATTCTCCCCGCTGCGCTCACACATTCTCCCCGCTGCGCTCACACATTCTCCCCGCTGCGCTCACACATTCTCCCCGCTGCGCTCACACATTCTCCCCGCTGCGCTCACACATTCTCCCCGCTGCGCTCACACATTCTCCCCGCTGCGCTCACACATTCTCCCCGCTGCGCTCACACATTCTCCCCGCTGCGCTCACACATTCTCCCCGCTGCGCTCACACATTCTCCCCGCTGCGCTCACACATTCTCCCCGCTGCGCTCACACATTCTCCCCGCTGCGCTCACACATTCTCCCCGCTGCGCTCACACATTCTCCCCGCTGCGCTCACACGTTCTCCCCGCTGCGCTCACACATTCTCCCCGCTGCGCTCACACATTCTCCCCGCTGCGCTCACACATTCTCCCCGCTGCGCTCACACATTCTCCCCGCTGCGCTCACACATTCTCCCCGCTGCGCTCACACATTCTCCCCGCTGCGCTCACACATTCTCCCCGCTACGCTCACACATTCTCCCCCTGCGCTCACACATTCTCCCCCCTGCGCTCACACATTCTCCCCCCTGCGCTCACACATTCTCCCCCCTGCGCTCACATATTCTCCCCCCTGCGCTCACACATTCTCCCCGCTGCGCTCACACATTCTCCCCGCTGCGCTCACACATTCTCCCCGCTGCGCTCACACATTTTCCCCCCTACGCTCACACATTTTCCCCCCTGCGCTCACATATTCTCCCCCCTGCGCTCACACATTCCCCCCCCTGCGCTCACACATTCTCCCCCCTGCGCTCACACATTCTCCCCCCTGCGTGCACCAATCATTTATAGCATGCGGTCATTCGCGAGACGAGATGTGAGACCAGGACAATAACCATTAAAAATTTGAGCACATTCCCTTCGCAGGCATTATCCTGTTCAGGTGGTAAGGGTATACTCTCAGCCATAGGGAGCTCTAGTCTCCCGAGGCACCCCCAGTGCTTCAGTCTATGTAAAATCAAGCTAAGAGGCACACATTTACACAGACCATGCACTTCCCTTCGCAGGCATTACCCTGGTCAGGTGGTAAGGGTGTGTTCTCAGCCTTCCCGAGCCCCGGGCTAGGCACCCCTAGTGCTGGTTGACAGACAGGAAAACTTAAGCAGAAGCGGGGGTGTCATCGGAAGAGGCAAGAACAAGCTCGGGACGAGCGGACAGATCAGAGACGGCACCGTCAACCTCGTTGGGGAGGCCGAGGGCCTTGAGGGCCAGGTGCGCCGCCTTCTGCCCGGACACCATCATCGCCCCGAAGGTAGGACCCTGTGCACACATCAACAAGAAACACACGAACAAAAACAGGGTGGAAAGACAGGAGCACAACAACGCACCACCAGAGCGATCCGGCGTCCCGAAGGGAAAGAATTAGAATCTGAAACACTCGTGAAATTGACGGCTAAGATTGAGATCCGTACCATGCGGGGAGCGCCGTCCACCTCGGCGACCTCCATACCGGTGACAATCATCCCAGGGACCACCTCGCGCGTGTGACGGACGATGGCATCCTCGGCGATGTTCATGTCCAGGCACTTCATGCCGGGGACCTTGTCAATCAGCCCGATGCTCTTGAGCCTCTTCACGCCGGTGGCGCCGAAGGGCCCGTCGTGGCCGCACGAGGAGACGACGACCTTGGCTTCCATGACGTTGGGGTCCATGCAGCTCTGCGTGTCGTGGTTCATCGACACCAGCGCCCAGTTCGTCACCACGCCGCCCACCTGCACGTCCGAGAAAGAACAACCGAAAAAGGGTTGCAGTAGGTATAATGTTACGGGTGAAAATATTTCAAGCAAATGGATGCGGGTTGCAAATTGCCGGAAGACAATGATAAAAACGTAGCGACAATTGTAAAATGGATGTAGATTAATGACAGTTCCGGGACTTACGCGGCCGTTTTTGATGATGAGATCCTCGGCGCACACGGCGTTGAAGAGCTTCACGTTGGGCCGCGCGAGCAGCTTGCTCATGATGGTCGACGTGAAGAGCGCCGCGTGCTTAATCACCACGTAGTCCTCCTCCTCGTCATAAGCGATCTCGAGCTCGTCGAGAAAGCGGTGAGCCGGCTTGCGGACCACCATGGCGGAGAAGAGCTGCCCGCCGAGCCACGCGCCACCGCCAGGGCTCACGGACTGCTCGATGATGGCGACGTTCACGTCGGGGTTCTTGCTCAGCTCGTACGCGCAAGACAGGCCCGCGGATCCCGCGCCGACGACCACCACGTCGGTGTCGGCGTAGGTGATCATGTCGGTCATGTAGCGACGCGTCATCTCGCGCGCCACGATCGACTCCTTGATCGGCTGGAACTTGAAGTTCTGAAAGTTGTAGGCCGAGTCCTGGTACATGGCGGAGACGGCCGGCGCGGCGCGGAGAGCCTTGGCCTTGGAGGGAGCAACAGAAACGGAGCTCCCAAGGAGCTCCGACTTACAGAGGGCAACGGCACCCTTGAGGGTGGTCGCGGAGAGGGTGGAGGCCGTGGCGCAAGCCATGATTGGAGACAAGCAAGAAGACGAGAGAGCAGGAGGAATCGGCTCAGCAGAACAGACTGAATTGACATCGGGCAACAGCTCTGGTCTTATGTTGGCTCGAGCTGGGAGCATCAGTAGGACGCACGATGACTCTTGGTGGAACCGGGGAGGGGAATGCAGGGGGACGAGGGGGGAGGCGGGGGGAGGCGGGGGGAAATGCTATCGGCGGAAGCGAGGGTGAGGAGCGGAGGGAAGAGAAGGGGGAGGGGGGAAGAGGAACACGAGAACTGGGGGAAATCTGGGGGAATGCGAGATAGTTTTTCCTGGCCTGGGGGAAGCACGAATGTTGCAACAGGCGGAATATGACGAGGCAGGCTTGCAGGCAGCTGTGCGTTCGATTCGATGGTCCCCTGTCCCTTGGATTGAGCCTTGTGGGCCTCGCCATCTCTTTTGGTCGCATTGCTTTGTCGAAAAAGGGAATCTCGCCAGTGGAACGCTGCCACGTAGGAATCAAGAGGTATCCAAACCGCAGCCTAGTCATCGGCGATGTCGTCCGTGATTGGAACATGCACCTAGTGATGCCATGTCAGAGGTATGAGGTGGTTTGTTTTGTATCGAGCTGTGAAGGATCCTCAGTACATTTTGTCATCCACTGTAGGTGTTCAGCAGTAACACCTACAATGAATGAAAGCATTTGAAGGGACAACTATTTAGACTCAAAATGGCCGAACCATGGATGATTCCAAACTTGCTCATGTTTTATTGACTGCTGAATGATGCACGTCCCATGTCTTCTTGCATTGAACTCAAGTTCTAATGATCAGTTCGCAGATTCACACTTTATGTCATCGCATTCAACTCGTGTCAATTTCCAGCAAAATTCTTTCACCAACGGCTGCCAGATTAGCACCTCGGTTGCTTCCAAAGTTCCTCTTATTAGGCTACTTGAAAAGCGGGAATTTAAATGAACTGGATGACTATCATAAGGGTGACAATGCAGAGATGAGAACAAGAACCACAAGAAATTGCAAACAAGTAGAATACGGAAAAACATTCACATGCATGTACAAGAATGTTGTACCAAAGTACTCATAAGTTTTAGAAACACTCATGTGTAGCAGAAAGTGCACGGCATACCTGAATGGCTCGTTTGGGCAATGCAGCAACTCTTGTTAGGCCCAACGTGCGAGCAATCTGGCAAGAATAAGGACAATGAGCGAATAATGAGAAGTTGTTGAGCGGCCGATGAGAGGATCATGAGAAGATGATGAGAGGATTATGAGAGGATGATTGATTAGAGGATGATGGGAGGTTGATGAGAGGATGATGAGAGTATATTGAGAGGATGATACGAAGATGATGAGAGGATGATGAGAGGATGCTGAGACGATGATGAGGTGATGAGAAAAGGATGATGAGGGGATGAAAGGGGGATGTTGATATGATGATATGGGGATGGTTGTCAAGATAGAAAGCAGGGATGTTGCATTGAATATCAAGTGGGTACAAGTACTAACCCTAACTTAGGGTTGTACCCCATATGGGCTACCACAGTATAGCCTACACAGAACTAACACATATATAGTTTCACACACCCCCATAGGAAAAGTGGGGGAGAACAAGGGGTCACAAGACCAGTCAAGAAAAGCAAAGCAAAGCAAGCTC